ATCCTGGAAAAACTTATAGCTGAGCAGCTCCGCTGCCACCTGCAGGAAAATAATATGTTTGAAGTCTTTCAATCAGGATTCAGAGCTCATCATAGCACTGAAACGGCACTAGTCAAAGTCACAAATGACTTACTACTAGCTGCTGATAATGGACAAGTGTCAGTGCTGGTCCTACTGGACCTTAGTGCTGCATTTGACACAATAGACCACAGCATTCTACTGCAGAGGCTAGAATGTGATATAGGTCTTAGAGGAACAGCCCTTGGCTGGTTTAAATCCTATTTATCAGATCGATATCACTTCGTCAATGTGAATCAGGACTCGTCGCCTTATTCTGGAGTGGAATTCGGTGTGCCGCAGGGTTCGGTACTCGGACCGATTCTTTTTACTCTCTACATGCTGCCACTGGGAAACATTATTAAAAAGCATGGAATTAATTTCCACTGCTATGCAGATGACACACAGCTTTATCTGTCGATGAAGCCAAATCAGACAGATCAGCTGGAAAAGCTCAGTGTCTGCATACAGGACCTTAAAATGTGGATGACTCTTAACTTCCTACTTCTCAACCCGGAGAAGACAGAAGTGATCATACTCGGTCCGAAGCGCCTGCGTGACTCCCTCACTAACCAGATGGTTACTCTCGATAATGTCAGTATAATACCCAGTAACACTGTGAGGAATCTTGGAGTCATTTTTGACCAAGAACTCTCCTTCAAGGCTTATATAAGCCAAGCAACTAAAACGGCGTACTTCCACTTACGGAACATCGCTAAAATTAGGAATTTCCTTCCTAAAAGTGACGCGGAAAAACTCATTCACGCGTTTGTCACCTCAAGGCTCGACTACTGTAACGCTTTACTGGCAGCGTGCCCTAAAGCCTCTTTGAAGAGCTTCCAGCTCGTTCAGAATACAGCAGCTAGGATCTTAACAGGTACCAAAAGGAGGGAGCACATAATTCCGGTGTTAAAATCACTCCACTGGCTCCCTGTGGAGTACAGAATAAAGTTTAAAATCCTACTCTTAACATATAAAGCCATAAATGGCTTGGCTCCCTCTTATCTCCAAGACACGTTAGTGTCGTATCAACCAGGTTGAGCGTTGCGCTCACAAAACGCCAGACGTCTGGTGGTCCCTAAGGTCTCAAAGGTCACTGTTGGTGGCAGAGCATTTAGCTACCAAGCTCCTTTACTGTGGAATCAGCTTCCCATTTATGTTAAGGAAGCAGATACGGTCTCCACATTCAAGGCCAGGCTTAAAGCACTTTACTTTAATTTAGCATATAATTAGGTAATATATAATATGTAGTGTATATATTATATATATATGCTGTATTATGTTATATATTATTCAATAATGTATTGTGTTATGTTGTATATTATGTTATATATTATGCTGTATGTTATTCTTTATTCAAGGCTAGGTTTAAAACAGTCCTCTTTAGTTTAGCATATGGCTAGGAAGGTAAGACTCGGAGAAGGTTAAACTCCTCAGAGTGTCAGTCAAGCTGCATAGGGAGTCAGTTTGCTGGGAGAAGTATGGTAACTTGAGCACTATCCTCTCCTCCTTCCTACTTTATCTGTTTAGCATTTTTAGGATTCTGACTGTAGTTTGTTCATTGCTATTCACCCGTTGTCCCATTGTCTGTTTCATGGTACGATGACGGGATCTCTGAGCCTGGCCTCTTCCATCTACACCTGCGGACTGCCCCGCCCGACCCGCCTGGGAGTGCTTCGGTCCTGCACCGGACCTGTCCACGTTCAGCGGCCACTGGTCCACGTTCTGTAGCTAGCTTAGGTCCTAGATCATTAGCCTGTCCGTCCGGAGGAGCGGATCCCTTTCTCAAATGGGTCTCCCTCCCTGTGGGTTTCCCTAGTTCTCCCCAAGGTTTCTCACTTTTTCCCACTGGGTTTTTTAAGAGTTTTTCCTTGTCGATGCAGGAGGGTCTTGTTGGACAGTTAGTGTCCAACAGAAAGGATTGGTGATGATCAGGACACTTTAGCATTCTACAACATGTATGGACATTTTCTTCTGTGTGTGCTTTATATTCTCCATGTGTTTTAACTGTTGATTCTCTGACCTGTGTTGGTGATTTCAATGGTTTTGTTAAGTCCTCTGAGATGACTTCTGTTGTGACCTAGGGCTATACAAGAATAAATTGTATTGTATTGTATTGTATTGTATTTGTAATTTAATTTGTACTTGTTTTTAAGAGGGGCGACAGTGGCTATTGCTGGCTCACCACAAGACCTACTTTACAACTCCCACCGATGACTGCTGTCGCTGTGTCCTTGGGCAAGACACTTAACCCCACTTTGCCTGAAGCCCCCGCTGAAAGACCAGGCCTTCTGTGGACTCAGCACCTGCAGGAGGATCAGTGAGGGGCTGGTGCTAAGTGTACTGGGTGCAGCTCTGACTGCCACCCCCCCCGACCCAGCAATGGATTAATGGGAAGAAAATGAATGGATGGATGGATGTTTTTAAGAACAGGGCAGGCAACATGAGATTTTTTTTTTCTTATTTTTGCACCTTTTCATTTGTGTGACAAGACTACAATGATATGAAATTAAAACGTATTGTCATGTCCACAACTGAGATAAATAAATCAAGATAATGTGTTGAATACTTGAATCCTTTGGGGAGCTATCTGGGAGGAGGTGGCGAGCTACTAACACCGTTCATAATGTCTTGGTCTGTATGATGTTATTGGAGATGGACATAGTACGACTTAACGCTACGACTCTCATTTACTCACTTAACAAAATCACCTGGTTGTAAAGAGACCCGGTAGCCTGTTTAAACTTAGAAGTGTGTGAGAAAGGAAACTGAATTGCAGAGAAAGCGAAATCCAATAAGACCCAAATAAATAAACAACGACCATTTTTATAAAAGGAAGGAAGCAATAGACCCAGAGCATAAGTCTTGAAGGAAGACAAAGCAAGGAAGCCAGGCCAGTAGAAAGGGAAAGGAAGGTGCCAGGAGAGATAGCAGAGTTCCCCAGCAGGGCTTTGTGGGTGGCATCAGAGCAAAGAACAAGTCATCTTTACTGGATTTTTATACGAGAAACTTAGCTCAAATATGGTCGTATTTTGGATCGAAATTAAGGCTGCGCAGTATTGGACGCAAGTGCGAGATGCAATAGCTGAATATAAAACTAATAATAATACAGAGGACATACATTGAGATCTCCAAATAGACCAAATTTGCATAAACCAAATAAGCATAAACATGTATAAGTAAGTAAGTAAGTCAAGTTTATTTGTAGAGCGTCTTTGACAGAGCAAGATCACAAAGCGCTGCACATTCAAAAACATACAGATGATGATTATGATTATGTCACATAGGGAAATGAAATCAAAGAGGAACCCGAAAAAGGGGGACTGAACATCTAATGTAATCCAAATCCAGACTGATCAAAAGAACTGACAAACTAGACAGGGACACACATGGTACAGAGACAATGGCCAGGCAACAAGTGTGGAAAAGCACAGGGTAGAAACACACACAACAGACACAGGTGGATCACATCAGGGCGGGGCTGATAATCAATAGGACAGACAGGAATCAAACTTAAACTACAAGAGAATGAAATTTACTCAAATAAAACCAGGTCAAAATAATCCAAATAAGTCCACAACATGACGTAATACACATACAAGTCAGATTTAACAAACAAAGATACAGAAGACCACTTGTGTAGCACTCAGTTATTTATTATTGCAGAAGTAATTGCTGTTGTTTAAAAAATACATAGACAAAGTGAATGTAACGGGATTGTGTTGAAACAAATCAGATCCCAGGTAAAGAACAGTCATCGGCAGGACTTTTTATCAGCTCCTGTCTGTTGCCGTTGTGTTTCCCGCAAAAATTGCAGAGCTAATTTTTCCACACTTAAGTTGTCAGAGCGGTTTAACATTTTGGAGGCCCCGCCGAGATCGTTTTTTACGTGCTCCGGCGACTCGTCATCTCTCCCGGAGCCAAACTACTCCCACATTTCAGAACCGCAGTGTTTATTTTAAGAGTAAACAAAATATTCATGAAAGAAATGCCTCTACCAAAAGAAGAATTATTGTGCGTCATTGCAATATACTCACTGCACAAGAAAAAGTTCCCTTGTGTATCGCGAGAGTTGCGTTCTAAAAAAAAAACCCGTGATAAGCAAAATCCGCAAAGAAGAAGCTGCATGTTTGAAGGCTGTAAAACTTCTGACCACACACTTTATACACTTTTCTGACCATCACAACTCACGACGGCTAAAGTGAGATTGCAGAGACATCTAACCTGTTGATTTGAACACAACACAACAATAATCAGATAGAAATATTGAAAAGAAATCTAAAGCTGCAGCCCATATTGTGACATTTAGCATGTTGGTGACATTAACTCATTGACTGCCATTGACGCATTTGTCTGAGACCGGTGATTTCTGTTGAACTTCCCGCTATTTGACTGGGGATTACAGGACAACACAAAATAGCTAGAAACAAACTTATTTTTGCTGATGAAAGTAGACAACCCAGTCTTTCACAATTTGGTTTCATATTTCACATAGTCATAGCACATAATATTCTGTGGGTCTTGAGAATCAGTGAAATCATCAAAAACGGCTGGCAGTCCATGAGTTAAGGAGACAGATCTCTAAAGCGAAAAAAAGGAGAAACTTATAATGTAAAACACATAGATTTACATAAATGAATGATCCACAGGTGTTAAGGTTTATATGGCACCCACATGTTTGACTGCTTTTTCTTTTCATAAGAAACTGTTGCAAAGCTTCAAACCGCTCATTCATTTACAGGTGGCTGGATGCATGCACCAAATCACTTGCATATAGAAGGCTGAGAAAGCAACCCAACAACGCGACAGTAAGCAGCAAGCAAAGAAGCGAGAGCATGCAACGAAAGAAGGGAGGAAGGAAGGAAACCCAAAGAAGCGGCATAAATGACTCATGTTGCTTTTACAAACAGAGCGTATACAGCAGTCAGGTCGAATGTCACGCTTCATTCCTTCAACCACAGGTGCACAGTCTTATCTGCTCCCACCAGTCCCCCCATCACTCGCCGGAAAACATCTCTGAGGACCTCCCCTGCCCCTTCATCTTCATCATCCTCATCCCACCGATGCGCAGGCTCACCCCGCAGAGAGGCAAAAGAGGAGAAGAGGATGAAAGATTCCACCCCTTCTCCCTTCATTCCCCTTTTTCTATCTCTCCTCTCGGTTGCGGCTGGCAGCGGATGCAGGCGATGGCTCGGAGCCCGCATCCCGCCGTCTGCCTCACCTACGCAGCATCTCCAGTCAAAAATTCATAAGGTGACACAAAACTGTCAGAGCGCGTTGATGCCACTCCAAAAAGGACGATGCCGCGAGAAAAAGAGAGCGCGTGTTTAGGCGAGGGGATATGTGGGCGGCGTGGCTTGGCTGGTGAAAAAATACAACATACTTGGACCAAAACCAATGTATAAGTTAAGAGCTGTGGTTATAGGACAAGCAGAGGTGGACTACTCTGGCACTGGGGCAATGTAAAGTATTCAGGAGGAGAGCGTACCATATGTGATGGTAATGGATAGATTTTAAAAGCTTGGAGGTTGTGTTAAAAACGAAAGAATCAGAATCCTTTTAAACGCCATGTGAGTAACAAGCAGTCACAAACTAGGAAAATTGCTTTGGCTCTCGGTGCAAACCAGTTAAAGTAGAGAATAGAATAAGGCACTCGGGGATTGAGGGATTTTATATTTTTATCTAATTTTTTTTAAACATTTTTTAATGTACTGTGATTATTTATGATTTTAATGCTTTCTTGTTTTGTTCAGCACTTTGAGTTGCCTTGTGTATGAATTGTGCTATACAAATAAACCTGCCTTGCCTTGCTCGTGAATAAAAATCTACATACATTTCTTCAATTTACAAGGACATAGTTTTGGATTGTGACAAGTGACGAGTGAAAATTGACTTGAATTCCAGAGTGAAACAGTCAATTATCATGTATGGCTTGAAAGAACTATTCTAAAGGTATGAATCATGTACATACACATACAGTCGATACGTTTTTTCAGCTGCAAACACACAACTAATGAAGATATATATTTCATGGTTTGCCCACAATACACTATAGATATAAAATGGATGTTCCACCTTGCATATAAGCATGTAAATAAGTAAGTATATGAATAGACTGTGTGTGTGCGCTAAAACATAACTTAGAATTGTAATAGAATGGATAAAAGCAGCACTTTCTAACCCAATCGAAATATCTCGTCCCCATGTGATGCCAAAAGATGACAGTCGAAGAGAAGAGACGCATTTGACTATATGTGTATCTGGAGGACTACATCAGCCCTGTGTTTATAGAATGAGAGGTAATATGTCCAATTCTACCTTTCTCACTACAGGCTCAACACCAACTGCCCGCTCCCGGCAGTATATAACCGCTGCTCAGAGCCCCCACTGCTATAGGTTAGAGCTGACAGATCTGGGGTGCAGGTGCGTGGAGTTTCCCAAATGGTGGGTCAGGACACCACAGCAGGTTATATGGAGATGTCTTTATGGACTGCTACAAAAGCATTGGAAATTCAAGGGGTATACAGTCATGTTTAGCTAGTGTTGAAAAAATATTGATCTCATTCTATAGGCAAATACAATGTGGGGACAGTATAGGGTTAATGTATTTATCTCCTTTGGTTAGTGACATATTCTTTCTTAAGCCTTCTTCATATAACAGCCTTGGTAAGCAACATCAAGCAGCCATAATAAAGATTGGAAGAGCGACTGCACTGAGATTACATTACTATTTGATTAAAAATGTGTTGTAATGGATGAGAACGGCTGGCATGTAACTCTAATTATACCTGTGTTCACATGAGGGTTTTCACACTCACAAAGAGTTCAGCATCCGCCCAACAGCTTCTCAACAAAGGCAGAGAGGCTTGGATCATATAGACACGAAAATTGTCCAAATAGTGATATATGTAGCAAAAACAACAAAAGCTGAACACAAATGAATCTGATTGTATTATTACGAAATGCAGCAGTGGCATAATTGTAGACTAAACTTTCGCGTTGCGTCCGTATATCGTAATGCAGGCTGGATGCTCTGAATGCACGCGTCCAGGCGCGGTGTCAAAACTGGATTTCAAGTTGCCCACAGCCACATTAAAAAGCAATTCATTTGAACCACACTCGTACGCGTAACTCCTTGCATGCCTGAACCTCAGCATCATCACCAAAGATGTATAGACAGCATTCCATAACTATCATCGGTGGAGCAAGAGCTTGGGTGCGTAAAAGCAGTGAATTCAACTACGTATTTGGAATGAAAATAAAAGGAGTCTTGGGTTTAATGCAACACCAGGTTTAAGCATGTCAAGACGTAGTTGCCTACCTATCCGCGCAGTCCACATACACCCCACATTATCAATCCAAACATCGAGAATAGACCATTGGCGCTGCAAACACCATGCGTAAAAATCGCTCCAAGATACAACAAAAAACTTTACTTACTCATACAAGCGTCCGTCAGCTCAATCCAGCTCGGCATGGCTCGGGTGGGAAAGGGTTTAGAGAAGAATAGAGGCAGTAGCAGTAGAATACAAGTCCATTCCGAGAGAGGTTCAGTGGCAAAAGAAGGAGCGCGCGATGCAATGGGATTTTTTCCTTTTTTTTCCCAAAGACGGAGCTGCCGCTGTGTGTGGATCCAAACAGTGCCAGGCATGAATGAGACGCGGGCTGCGCTTTACTCCGGCTCCAGAGAGAGAGAGGAGAGCTGCTCAGACATCACACACACAGGAGAGATACAGGGCACAGGCTGTAGCTGACTGCCGTGCGCCCCCTGCCTGCCAACACCCGCCACGACGCGCGCCTTTATTTGAAACAACAGCAAGACGCATAGGTGGCAGCATCGGATCCGCTCCTGTGCTGCTGTTGCTGATGCTGCTGCTGCTGTTTTCAGGGTAAAGCATCTGCCGCCTACTTGGCCTTCAGAAGTTCTCTTTGTTCAGTTTTCACCAGACGATTGTTCATATACTTGTCAAGATTCTTCAAGTATAGATAAATGCATAGTTCAGCGGCCTTGGGCTTTGTAAACAGGCCCTTATCGCATCCTTCTATCGAACACTTGAGTGAAACATGCCAGCTAAATGAAAATATGACCTTGTCAAACAATCAACAGTTTTATTACAAGACGTACATAGACATTGTGGGGTAAACTTGTTTTTGAAAAAGTGCAGTAAGTAATTTTGTCACGTATTCCTCCCTGGTCCAGTTTGTGCACTGTATTGTGATGAATAGTATAAATCATATACATATTATATCATACTGTTAAGTTGTTTTATACTATTTGTGCATTTTTTTTCCTATTGCTGATTAGAGGATTTTACACACTCAATAAAATACACTTTCAAATAGTTTTTTTGTGTAATATAGTCTTGAAATTGTATGATCAGTTACAAAAGGTTATTGGTATGTGTTACTAAATGAGAGTAAGAATATAAAACAATTGCCCATATAGTCGTCAATGTGTTTAGTAGTTGCTGTTTGTTTATATAGGGATTTCTAAACTAGATGGATGTGATTCTTATCAGATGTATCCAGTCAGAACTGTGTTTACAGTGACACTCGCCTGTAAAAGCACAAATCATGCATCATCTTTTTCTTCAGTGATTTTCTTTGCGGTAAAAACAAACGGATTTCAAGTTTTCAATGTTAGTGTTTTTTTATTATGAATTTTTAGAGATTGAACAATAGACTTAAAAGTACAGATTTTAGTTTGTACTCCTACTGAACTTGGCTCCCAATGTTTTTCTTCTTCTACTGAATCTTTTCTCTTTTCCCACAAACACAACCTTAAAACTAGTAAGTAAGTAAGTAAGTAATCTTTATTTATATACCGCCTTTTCACTGCACATCGGAGTCTCAAAGCGGTTTACAATTGTTATTTTTTGGGAGTGGGGGTGCCAGTACAGGAGGCACATGCCAGACCTATTGTACATATTTTTAGTGGTAGGGGAAACCGGAGCACCCGGAGGAAACCTACGCAGACACGGGGAGAACATGCAAACGCCACTCAGAAAGGCCCTGGTGCCGCCCACTTATTAACTATGGTTAATACTTCCATGTTAGACCAGTAAATGATTCAGCAGGAGCTGGAGGGTTTTACCTGTAGAGCTGGAGCATGTTTTGGTCGGCGGGGAAACCCACCAGACAGAGCAAGAAACTTCCAATATCCACTTGGAAAACTTTAAATAGCAACAATGGTAAACAGTTAAATTCAATTTATTTTTGTAAAACCCTAATTCAAAACAGCCGTCTCGGGGGACTTTCGACTAGCAAAGATTGAATAAAAAAATTCAACCACAGGAAATGCAATAATAAAAAACATAGTTACTGTATTAGTCCATTGGAAGCGGGATGACCCATGCTAGTAAAAGTGCAAATGTCCCGGAGCATCACTGTCCCGAGACACTTCTGCTTCCCGAGGACCGACTCAAAAGGACAGTGGAAGAAAAAGAGAAATCTCACGGAGGCTCATGTTGAGAAAAGGATACCGCTTCCACAGACAGACAGGATGTAGTTAAAGGTTCAGGTTGGAGGGACGACTGTTAGTTAGTTAGTTAGTTTTAACTAACTAAAGTGACCTTTGATATTGTTGCAAAAACACAGCTCCAAAAATTTCGAAGTGATGAGCATGACCAAAACATGTGAGTCAGATTTGCAGGCGTTTGGTGGCACCGGTCACAATCTGGACTAACGTTTGGATATATCTGAGAGAGCCGAGCTTTTGACCAGTGAGTGCGATGCAAAACTTTACATTGAATTAAGCTATGTCTAGCGCATAGTGAAGAGCTATGTACACGGGAGAGAACTTTATGCCATGAATCATCCTGGATCACAAATCCTATCTCTTGCTCCCATGCTGCTCTTATGGGGGAGATTGAAGAGTTCCCAAAGGAACATATTCGGTGATACAGACATGATATAATACCCTTAGATGGTGGAGGGTATTATATCGTCAAAGTCATGATTTGGAGGTTTTGATGGGAACTGAGAAGTTTTTTCCTTCACATAACTCCGAATTTGTAAGTAGCGAAAGAAATGATTCTTTGGGAGACTGAATTTAGATGATAGCTGCACAAAGGAGGCAAAGATTCCATCAATGTAAAGGTCATTGAATGAGTTAATTCCAAGGGAAGACCAAATTAGAAACGCAGGCTAAACAAGGCTTAAGCCAAACAAGGCTTAAAACATGGATTTTTCACAATGGGGGCTTTTAAAGAAAAGTGGTTGCATTTGAAAAAACGTCTAAACTGAAACCAAATTTTCAAAGTCATCTTAACAATTGTGTTATTAGAAAACTCTGAGCTAGGCAGTTGCTTTGGAGCATAAACAAAAGCAGCTAAAGATGATGTGACGCAGGAAGAGGCTTCCAAGCACAGCCAGGCTGGAGCATCGTTAAGAGATTCCACCTGCAACCAGTACCTCAGAACACGAATGTTAGATGCCCAATAATAGGACATGAAATTCGGCAAAGCCATCCCACCAACATCCTTAGGCCTCTGAAGGTATGTTTTACAAATTCTTGGAGTTTTGTTATTCCAAATAAAGCCAGAAATAGTTCCATCAAGCTTAGCGAAAAAGGAGGCTGGAATGAAGACTGGAACACATTGGAAAAGAAAGGAGAATTTAGGAAGCACATTCATTTTGACAGTGTTAATCCTACCAGCAACTGTTAAGTGCAATAGAGACCATCTATCAAAATCTTGTTTAACTTTATCCAGGAGAGGGTCAAAATTAGATTTGAAAAGATTTGAAAGTTTTCTCGTAACCTTAACTCCTAAATATATGAAACTGTCAAAAACCACTCTAAAAGGTAGTGGGTCAGGGTACTTCTGTGCAGCTAAATTCAGGGGGAAGAGCTCACTTTTGCCAAGATTCAATTTATAGCCTGATATGAGACTAAACCGGCCAAGAATTGCAAGCAATGCGGGAATTGAAAGAGTAGGCCTGGAAATGTAAAGAAGCAAATCGTCAGCATACAACGAGATCTTTTGCTCAGTACCATATCGCATGATTCCAGTAATATGAGGATCAGATCTAATAGAGACGGCGAGGGGTTCTATGGCGATTGCAAAAAGCAGCGGCGACAGCGGGCAGCCCTGTCTTGTACCTCTAAAAAGTGGGAAAAACTTTGAATGTGTATTGTTTGTTTTGACAGAGGCAAGGGGGGAGGTGTAAAGGAGCCTAATCCAAGAAATCAACTTTTTACCAAACCCAAACTTCTCTAAAACATAGAAAAGGTACCCCCACTCGACCCTATCAAATGCTTTCTCTGCATCTAAACTTATAACCATCTCAGGGTCGGTCAAATGAGAAGGGTTATACAGAACATTAAACAACCGTCTGAGATTGGAGAAGGCGTATCTCCCCTTAATGAATCCCGTCTGATCTGGACCAATTACTGAAGGTAAAGTAGTCTCCATGCGTGTAGCTAACAGTTTAGCAAGAATCTTATAGTCTACATTTAGCAGAGAAATGGGGCGATACGAGCCACAGGACAGAGGATCCTTCTCCTTTTTCAGGATCAAAGATATGGAAGCCTGACGTAAAGAGGGGGGAAGAGAACCAGTCTCAAATGAGTGCATGTGCATTGTTATCAGTAGAGGTGCTAATTTAGGCATGAATTTTCTATAAAATTCAACTGGAAATCCATCTTGTCCAGGGCATTTAGAGCATTGCATCTTGTTTGTAGCCTGTACGATCTCATCAACTGTCACCGGTGTCTCCAGTTGAAGCGCAAGAGTCTGGTCCATTTTTGGAAGCTCTAAATGGGCAAAGAAAGACTCCAGAGACTGTGCACTGGGGGAGCATTCAGAGGTATAGAGGGTAGAATAAAATGCCTTAAATTGATTATTGATTATTTGAGGGTCAGGCGATATGCCATTAGACGTTTGTATCTGAGAAATAAGATGTGCTGCTGTTGCACTACGAAGCTGGTGAGATAGAAGTTTACTAGCCTTATCCCCATACTCATAGTGGGAATATTGTGACTTCAACAATTGTTCCTCAGCCTGAACCGATGTCAACTGATCGAACTCCGCTTGTAAAGATAATCTGTCATTATACACTTCAGGTGAGGGGGATGTAGCATATAACTGATCCAACTGTAGAATCTGTGTCATGAGCTCAGACAGTCTTCTTTTCCTTTGTCCTGTGTCATACTTAGTATAGGATATAATGTGCCCCCTGATGAAAGCCTTAAAAGTTTCCCAGAGCAGAGATGGTGATATATTTGGTTCGGCATTTGTGGCTACAAATAGGTCAATCTTCGAGGTTAGAAAGGCAACAAATTTGTCATCTGACAATAAGCGCGTATTCAGACGCCATGGAACAAAAGAAGGAGAACCTCCACCAATGACCAAGTCCATAATCACAGGAGCATGATCCGAAATGACAATAGCATCATGAGAACAAGAGCGAACATGTGGAATTAGTTGATTGTCAAGGAGAAAGTAATCTATACGAGTGTATGTATGGTGAACTGGG